GTTTCATATTACTCTCGCATTTTTTAAAATGTTTTTCCCTTAAGATATCCATTGCTTTCATAATTTTTGCACTCACTGGGTTACACATAAGCTTATATGCCTCTGCTACAACTTTCCCTTACATTTTCTTTTGCTTATTCTGGAATCTAATTAGCATTAATCTAATCTTCCACTTTTCTGCCCCACCTACAGTATTCAGTGACCTCTATGACATATGTTATGGCTTTCGAAAATGACCAAGAAACACAGGACTTCTGTGAACGTTGGGGTTTTCGGATTCGCTCTGGATTTTTGTTTTTTGAGAAGCAGCGGCCTCCCCAACTTCCCGAACTTGCCTGGAAAGAGCGAAGGTCACAGAAGGTAGCTAAAGTGAAACTTATTGTTCTCCATTTTTGAATATTAGTTAAATTGATCTACTCTGCCTATTCCATTTTCTCTTGTGTATTTCATTATCTCTTTATACCATTTGTCCTTTTAATCACTAGAATTGACGAAATTCTTTGGTCAGTGGAATTAAGCTCTTTGATATATTTGTTTATCCAATTAGTTAGTAGCTTATTCGAATTCTGGGTTTCCCCATCAGCTATTATTTACTTAGGCTATATTAATTACTTTTTGGCACTGAATCACTTTTTTCCAGTTATCAGTCTTTGATACATCACTAATAAATTAACTGTAGATACGAAAATAAACTGGGTTTCGATGAATCTCCTGAGATAATATTGTTTGGGAGGCTTTCATTTGGTATGAAAGTGCATGAAGAAGAGATTCGTATGTCGATCTCACCAGAAGAGGACGGATGAATCCTGTTGTACTGCAGCCGTTTGGCTTTTATACCACGTTCAGGTTGACGCAGTCCACGAGACCTCCCTCGTTTCGGGTGAAAATGGGCTGAGCTTTCGTCTATCATATGACGAGGCAAGACGTGTTAACATGATACTTTCACAGGAATGAGACTCAGCTCTGATGATGTCCATCATATGATGGACGAAAGCTCAGTACATTTTCACCCGAAACTATGGAGGTCTCGTGGACTGCATCAACCTAAACTTCGTATAAAATCCAAATGGCTGCAGTACAATGGGATTCATCCGTCCTCTTCTGGTAAGATCGACTTATGAATCTCTTCTTCATGCGTCTTCATACGAAATAAAAGTCCCCCAAAAATAAATTTACTGTCAATCCTTGTCTCTGCCGATTATATTCAGTATATTTTTACTTACTATCAGCATGACAGCCTTAAATTTCTACGACTTTTTTTATCATTGCTAGTTAACCGTCCTTTGTCAAGTATTACGCTAGACTAATGAATTTAATGAATATCGCAAAAAGCATTTAGAAGACCTAAATGTCTTTGCATATGGAGACCAACTTATCTATGAAGTTAAGTAAACTAACATTGGATTTATATTTATTCATATATACGCATTCTTTAACTAGTTCCTCATTTCGTTCTCTTATCCCATTTATTAAATACCACTATTTTTAGATTATTGAGAGCAAACGAATTGGTATCTCACTTTCGGAACTCTTCAACGGTGGTCCCCTGCCTCTTGATTCCGCCTTGCCGTGGCCTGTACACAGCTCTTTTGATGCACAGGGTCGTCTTATACCAGACAACCTAACTCCCAGTTCGCTTACTTTATCAAAATGCGTTTCATCGTCATCTCAACCAAATCCCCCGACATCTTTGTTTTCATCATCAGCGAATATTCCTCAATCTAGCATCTTCGGACAAATATTAAATTTGGTTCCAGCTACCTCCGGCCAAGAAAGTATAACTTCGTCAGCCCATTCAGTCGCCAGTGGTTCTGTTAACTACTCATTCCCACTTCCCTCCAATACTTCCCTTGGTTCTAGTGGATGGTCTAACTGGCTGTTTGGGCACTCACAAAATTTGCAAGCTGCTTCCAGTGAGCTGTCAATCAATCATGCTGGATCAACTTTAACCCCGAATGAGTTGTCTATTCTTGCAGAGGATTTAATTATTGCTCCTGTAGTCTCACAGATGACTCAAGCTATCCTGGAGCGCATCTTTATTCAAGATATCTGCGCTCGAGCGATAATTGATGATCTTATTGAAGAAATGATTGAGAAAAATATACTCCAGGTGCTAAGTTATTTATTATGTTACTATATTCATTTAATCGTGTTCTAGACTCCCGACTAAGATCAATTTCAGATAACAAATAAACCCATTTTGATCCACCTCAGCTTTTTTCTATCTATAAAATAATTATCATTATCAATAGACTATCTATGCTGTCATTTGTTATCACAATCCAAATGTAACCCTCTCTATAGTGGGTAATTGTCCTCATCGCTCCCCAACTGACTAGGTAGGAGTATCATTCAGAATTTGATGGCTGCTTCCCAGTCCCTATCCAAAATTACCTTTTAGAGGTATTTTCTTCTCCATACCAGGATATATCTTATAAATTCCTTTACTTTCCTTGGATCTGTATGCATTCATAATGGTTTAGGTGGCTTAACCTTTTAATTCGAAACCGATCTACTTTCACTTTTTCTTATACTTTATTGAGGTTGTCCTTCACTTCAAAAAATTTATTGTGCATAAACCTTCAGAATAATTTATTTTTCTTATGACTATTAAATTAATAGATAAGCAAATAATATAACAATAAGGTTTACTTAAGTCTTGATGTGGCATGGATTTATACGAATATACCAGTAAGTGGGGTCATTCAGGCCTTAGAATTAACCTTAGATCTACAGCCAGAGATTATATCAGGAAATAAGGTAGGCAAGTAGTCTATGATGAGACTGGCAAACTTAATAGTGAACAGTATATATTTTACCTTTACTGGTAAATTATGCGAGCCAACCTGAAGTTTAACTATGGGACCCTGTTTGTCTTCAGTTTTAGCTAATAAC